ACCATCCCTGAGGGGGGGGGGGGGGGTACAGGGATTTTTTTTCAAAAAAAAAAAATTTTTCTCAGAATTATTCACAACATATATAAATCGACTCCGTTTTTAACGCTGATTCCGAATCTGATATTAGTTTTGAACCAAATCGTAGCTTTCTAACACAACATCGCCTGAAAAAGGTCTCAAAATGCACAAAAACTGCATCGAGAAAGCAAATAGTCTAGATATGTCTCAGTTGATAAAAAACAAAGTGAATATACCTTTTCACTTTTTGAAGTACACATAACACTCGGATTTAAATCCGAGGTTTTCGCATTTTATTAAGTTTTAGGGTCGGATCTTTTCTTTGTAATGATAATCTATGTTTGATCTAGAACTAGAGACTAAAATAACATGATTTACCCTAAATTATACTTAGTTTTTCCACTTATATAGTGATTAAATTTGTAAATGTGCAGTTAATTAGAGAACGTATATAATTAGTGACCTTTCTCTATGAATTTATTAACCTCTGAGACATAAGTTAGGATTAATTCACATGACTCTTGATGGCTCCTTAAATATAGAACTCAAGTGATATATTATGTATCTACTTTGGCTTTAGTTGTGAGGTAGTTATACCCATAATAATCTTGCATGACATTTCTGCACTATTTTTTCTCTTTTGGACGAAAGACAAACTTTCAGATACTGATATTTTAACCAATTGTTGGCCACAATGAGTTGATAAAATAATCAAAGTTTTGTCGCAATCTGCCATAGTTTAATAGAGTTATGTCCCAAACAAATTAAAAAATCTCGCATGGCACTTTGTGTGACAACCGAATTTTCAAATTTCATTTCATATTTTTCCTCAGCAAGAAATAGCACAATTTTTTCATTGTCTTTGGCGGTTTCATTTACAACCAATTGACTTTCATTTTACACCAGTTCGATCAATATCAGACGAGTCATTGCGCACCAAAATGGATTTTAATCTCGCGTGACATACAATTGAGGGTTGTGTCTGTACCCATGATATTTCGAGAAAACTATAATAAAAAACACGTCGAGAGAACCAATGATTTTTAGATATGAGAAGTGTAGATTGTATATTATAAATATCATGAACTGTCAAAATTCAAATAACAAGTAAGGAATTGGCTATACAACTTTTTTTCAAAAGATGGTAATAGAAATCGAACTATTGAGCCTTGTACAGTTAATATCTCAGGACTTATTCAAGATAACATTGTGAGTTTTTGTGTGGTAATGAGGACTTCTTAATAGTATATATGGTAAAAAAATCACAAGGATTGATTGAGTAGAACTTGAGATATTGAAATTGTACGTTCAAGAATACAACGGTACAATAAACTTGCAATTAACTCATATATAAATGATAATATGACATATTCCGTTTGATCTTTTTTTTTGTCTATGACAATCAGTGAACTCTCCATAAAATATTTAATTCAACCCATTACATATTATTCTTTCATGTTGTTTTAATTTTAGTATTCTTCGAGACTTGATTACAACCACCTTATCTATGATATAATCATTTAACAATGCTGATGTTGATGCTGCTCTGGAACTCCCGATGGTTATTGTTATATATTATATATGAAAACTGCAAGGTAATCTATTATGTAAGAGGAATTTGATCATCATCAAACTGTTCGAATATAAAAATCTTAGGCATTTTTGAAAATGTATCAAATACATCTGAAAGTGCTGAATTCTATATTCATAGTCTAGCTATGTTTAAATCAGTTGTAAGACTTTCTCAACAATCTAATAGAACAATCGACGAAAAAT